CTAAGCCCCTTGCTCGAACCCCTCTTCCTGCTGCATTCACCCAAACAAAATCAATATCAGCCCTTGAATGCCATTTTTGACTCTGAGGGGGGTTCGATGTACATCAAGCATTATAGTTCGCTGTGGTGTAAGTACTGTATGTCTTTTCCTCAAGGGGCCCTGCTGAGTTGGGGGGGGGGGGGGGTGGGGAGAAGGGTGAGGAATTAAAGCTGATTTCATGCCCCTTGTGAGTTTTAACCACCAATTATTGCCTGTGCTACCCACGGCAGGGGGCTCTGAGAGCTCACTGCTAAACCAATCAGGCTGCTAGAACTGCACCTTCAACCTTTTCCAACTACAATCACACAGTAATAATGTGTGATTATATGTGTCCTCTATGGCTTTCATTCCTCTCTGCTCTTTAATTACACAGTCCTATACATGGTCTTCAAATGCCGCTCAGTAAATCAAGGTGTTTGACTCACACACGATGTCACAAACAGTCCGAGGAACACTGAAAACCTTGAGACTGAATGCGTTCAATGTTAGTTTTCATACGTCAAACACTCGGACAATATAATAATAATTTATTCTTTATTGATCCTGCGAGGGAAAATTTGTTTTTACACTCTGTCAAGTTAACATGCTACACAAACATAGGCCAAAATATACACATACACACACAAACAAACAGGATCCTATGGACATGCACTAATGGGGGGGTCTCGGGGTGGGGGGGCTGCCCACAGTGGGCGCTCCTGGGCTGGTGGGTGCCTTGCTCGGGGGCACCTGGGTGGTGCTCAGGAGGTGGACTGGCATCTCCAATTTCTGGACCAATTTTCAGGCTTGGTCTGTGCCGGGACTTGAGCCGGTGACCCTCTGATTCTCAACCCAAGTCCCTACAGACTGAGCTACTGCCGCCCCAATATCCACAAGACCCTGGACCTTATCTGCATTGTATTTGAAGGTACCTTCCTAAATATACAAGATTGAATTAAAAAAGAATTCAATTCCATGAAAAAACACAGAGAGACAAATACACTGGAAGATTGATGGACACAGACTGACAGACATGTATGGACAGACAGAAACAAACTGACACAGAGAAAAAAGGACAGAAACACACAGAGAGACACAGAGAGATAAACAGACAGACGTAGACAGAAGACGCATCCCAACTCAGACAAACAAACAGACACAGTTAGACAGACAGGAAGAAAACATATGACTTGTGAAATATGACTCATATTCAGCATTAACAGCAGTAGTGATAATGTAAGAGTGATCTATAATAATTATGTATTGATCAGTACGGGTCAAGCAGATTCATGGCAGCAGACAATGAGTCACAGGAGCCTTTGAGAGCTACAGATATGTAACAGATCCATAAACTGGAATAGCTTCAGTCTGATCTTTATGATGCAGGTCCCTTTTGTTCAGTGATTACACTTTCAACAACGTCTTCATTCAGTCCCGTCTGCTAACACAATCATCTCCTTTCGGTCCACGTCCATCCTATCTCTCTGTGCTCTCAAGGAGACCGCCTCCCTGGTCTGGGGCCGAGCTGCCTCTCCCTTTCATCCCCGCTGTTGTCTCTGAAGGTTAATCCAGGCCGCTCTGACAGCCATGCTTTCCCTGGGTCAGGGAGTCGGGCAGGGCGAGCAGTGGGAGAGGCGGTGACGGTTCATTTGACCCTGTGAAGGACGGGCAGAGGAAGTTTCAGACGCAGACAGAATGAGGAAACAGAGGAGGCAGGTCACCTGCTGTGCGGGGAGTTGTTGTTCTGGCAGGCAGAGCAGCGATGTGTCTGGCTGTTGTGTGTCTGTAAGGTTGTGTTTGTGTGGTTTGACTGGGAAACCATAGATGGATGGATGAGTTTAATGAAACCAGGGCAGCCTCATGGTGTCAGCCACAAGTGGGACAAGGTTACGCTTCATTGGCCTTAGGCTGGAAATCTCACTCTGGAATAAAAAATGGTTTTGTCAGTCTGTGAACTATTAACTGAGTTAACTGAGGCTCAACTGGGTCAAGCTTCTCAAATGTGGCTGTTTATTGATATTTGGACATATGTTCAAACAGAACAAGAATTTTTTTCTTGAAACTTACAAATATTTGATACATTTCCCAATAGTCATAATATTTTTATTTCACGTTTAGCCCAAAAGGACAAACTCAACCCAGTCAATAACTTGTGTTACATGATTGTGAATATAACAATAGAAAAGTCATTTATAAGGATAGCTTGTTGGAAAATTTGTAGGAGATGTAAACAGTAAAGCTTTATGACTATAAGATTTTGGACAGCTGAGGAATAAGTGTGTGTTCTGTGCAATTTCCATTTCCTGAAAATCTAGATTTTTTCCTCCTCTTTCAAGCCTATTTTTATACCTCGAATCAGCCAAAAATAGCACTAATGATCATCAGAATACATTATTAAGTGTGTATATTCTCTCGTGTTTCATCACTGATTGCAGCTTTGATCAGGTGCTGCGATGGGACTTGGATAAACACACTTTTAAAGAAGCTCAACGGATCGAGTTTAGATGTAGTAAATCTTTTAATTATGATCAAAGGTGTTTTTGCTGTGGTGGGAAAGAACAAAGCCAGCGATTTCCAAATCTATAAATGATAGATGTGTTCTGAATCAGTAACCATTTATTACATGAATCATAGAGTGGAGCAGTTTCACTCTTGCTTTGTCGAGGATAAATTCAATCTGAAAGAAATTTCACTTTCTTTTCTGAGGACACTCACAGGCTGCTCTTAGGTAAACTACAGTTTACCTCGATTCCATTGCCTCCGCCTAAACCACCATATTGAATGGTGTCACGTAATTTCTGCTGAAATGGAGAGCCTTGTCCAGACTATCCGGCCTATTTCTCGGTAATAGCCTGCCCTGACTGAGCTCCCTGAAGAGACCAATTGTGGCCAGCGAGGCACACTTAAATTCTGGGTGAGACAGAGGAAGAGAAAACAGAGTCTGTGCAGCCACTTAAAAGCCTTCTGGGTGAAAATGGGATTTCTGACCTGCTCCACTGGTGCCACAGCTCTACAGCAGGATGGGCTGTCAAGAAGCTGCCAGGTGGGAGCGGGTCGAGCAGCTGGGGGGAGACGGAAGTATTGAATGGATGGTGCCGCCGTCGCTGCTTCTGCTGGTGTCGATGGCGAAGACCGCAAGGACCTCATTAGCTCCACATTTCATCAAACACTGTGGCACCAGGGTGGCTCTCACTGCCGCCATATATCTCTTTCTCTTTGGCCGTCTTTTCCTTTTTTCCCCTAGTAAAAGAACACTCAGTTTTATCTTCTCTGTCTCCTCTCTTTACCTCGTTCTGTCTCCTTAAGGTCTCATTAAGTAGATGAGCCTTTCTGCTGGTTATCTGCGACTGAGTCAAAGTCAGTAGATGAGCATGATGATGACACACACACACACACACACACACACACACAAGCACATCCAGCTATAATCATTTGTTCTTGTTAATGCTGTGAAAATGTGCATTTGTCACAGCTATAAGAATGTAAATAAGCAGAATATTCCTGCAGGGGAGATATTTCCAGGCACATTAGAGGCCTCTGCAGGGCTGGTTTGCATATCATTGATTTTAAATGAGTGCAAGGGTGTGTTTGTGTGTGTGTGGAAGCAGGACACTAACATGCAAACGTGCAAACATGCAAAGTAGATATGTGCCTTACACAAAGGACCAACATGTAGGGCATGTAGGTCTATTTTGATTATTTATGTGTATGCAAAGCCTCAGATGAGCTGCTGGGCAGGAAAAGAGGCCACACACTTATTAACCTGCGGGACTCAAAGACTCAAACAGACCCTCGGTACAGGAAAAAACAAAGACTGATTGTATTGCTGTGTAATAAAACAATGCAGAATAATAATCATGACCACAGCTGTTGGTGGTGATTTAGATAAGAGTAACACCCAAAAAAGAAATCCTTGTTTTGTTTTTTGGAAAATGTCAAGGACTGAAATATGACTCCATGATTTCTTTATTCAATCTGTAAATTACTTTCATGCATTACTGATCCGTTCTGAAACGATGGATAAAACATATCCATCATTTTATCAAAGTTGTCCTAGTTTCTGGATTTGTTCAACCAGGAATCCCAAATCAAAAGAGAAAACCAGTTCACTAAAATACTGCAGAAGACACAAAGAGGCAAATATATAGACATTTTTTAGTTAATCTGTAAGAAGTTAACTTTCCCTTGTTCCACCAGAAATGATACAAACAAAATGACTGTATTGTTTCTGTATTGTTTATTCATTCTGCTCTTTTCCCATGTAAATGAAGATTAAAAAACAGAGGATCCAAAAAATTTAAGAACAAGGGGAAGTTGGAGAACAAATAAGAAATAAAACCATAAGATTTACCTGAATCATAATATGGGGGATTAATCCACATATTTATTGTTGGTATCATGTTATCTTCTGTAGAATTTTTTTAATCAAATGTATGAACTGCTAAATAACTTAAAAGCTTCTTATTAAATAAGACATCTTATGCATCTTATGTTTTATGCATCACAGCTGTTGTTTTGTGAGTAAACACATTCCTGCGTTGTGTGCGAGTGGGAGACAGATTTAAGGTGAATCCTCTGTAAGACCCCGGGGTTTCCACCGAGCACAAAGCAAAATGACAAGCTACACATCCCTAGGGGTCTCCGTCGTTACCCATTTGTCAACAAAGCTTTTTTCTGCCTGAAACACAATGTGATGCTTTTTACCAAAGTTCCCCTAGGTGTGCATTTCTGTCTGCTTTGCATATTTCTGTTCAAGCCAGGGCTTAACGCAACTTTCAGGGCTTCTTTTTAACCTCTGGAATAAAAAGAGTTTAAATACCAAATATGGTACATTTACATCTGCCGGCAGTGCTGCTGGTGCTTCCACAGGGACGAGAAAGCCAAACATTTTCTTGCACTGAGCATATTTGTTTTAGGGACTTTAGTTATTTTCCTCTTCTTACTCAGCTCCTTATTTGTTTCCGTTATTTTCCTTCCCTCAGCCTCTCAGGAAGCACTGTAGGACCTGCTCTCTGGTGACCAGCTCGGGTCACCTTATCGGAGGCGGACAGGGTGAAGCAATCGACGAGGCCGAGTGCGTCATCCGCATGAACGATGCCCCCACTGCCAGAGGCTACGGCCGCGACGTGGGCCACCGCACCTCTCTGCGCGTTATCGCTCACTCCAGCATGCAGAGGGTCCTAAGGAGCCGCCACGAGCTGCTCAACACCAGCCAGGACACGGTGTTCATCTTCTGGGGCCCCAGCAGCTACATGAGGCGCGATGGGAAGGGTCTGGTCTACAACAACCTGAGGCTGATGAACCAGGTGCTGCCAAAATGCAGGTCTACATCATCTCCCTGCAGAAAATGCTGCAGCTGGACGACCTCTTCAAGAAAGAGACGGGGAAGGACAGGTGAGTGAACTACTGGTTGAACCATGGTAACATGAATAAAGGAGGATAGGAATGCAAATACATGTACAGGCAAGCCATAAGTATTGGCTGATATGGGCTTAAAAATTAAATGTCTTGTCTTATAAGAGTTTTTTAAGCTCTCAGCCCTGTGTCTTTATGTTTGCCTATGACTATAACAAGAAAAAAAAACACAAATCTGAACAAAGGCAAATTACAGTCAGTTACAGAAACTGAAACAAGATGTAATATATCTGTGAATATTTCAAAATGATTATCCACCCTTTATATTCCATCTCTCTTTTCTGCTTATTTGCACGTATTTGCACTTATTTGCACTCTTATGTCTCTTGTGGCTTCCCACAAGTACTGTGAGTAAAGATGTGAGTGTTGGCTGTTACAAAGCAGCTGCATACACAAGCTGCACTGTTTTTGAAAATCAAGCTAGAAAAGCATCGGTTCTAAACTCTGGTTTCATGAAAATGTTGTTTTGCTCGTTAGGACGTTTCTGGAGTCTCAGATGTTGGAGTTCCCTGCATCTCTTTAATATGCCACAAAGGGAATAGTTCAAAGTGGTTTGTGTTTGACATGAAAACGTAATGTAACTAGCTCTTGTTAAGTGCAATAGACACACTTGGAGTTTATGTGTCTGCAACACCTTCTCTGAGCAGCAGCGATAAAAGGACTTGTATTTAATGAGTCCAGGCTGAGTATTCAGTCCTGTGGTCATTAATGCTGAATGACACACTACTCTTTCTGTTTGCATGTCTTTCTCTGTCTTTGAGAAGACACTGAATCTGAATTTAGTTTAGGATGGAAGTCAGAGGGGTGTTTGCTGAGTCGAGGATTTGGTGAATGGCTGCGACATCCATCCTTCAGGATCTGTGTCTACAGTCGTGGTTAATGTTTACAGTGAACGAGCGGCCTCTGTCGCACTGTTATCCTTTGTAGCATTAGGCATTAATATCAGCGGGGCTTATTTGATGTCTGTAGAGCGTGGGAAGAGAAAAAAAGAAAGCAGAAAGCATTACTGTTATGTCTGTCTATAACATTTGAGCGAGCCAGCATGAAAAATGTGCTGTGCCATTGTTTTTTGAATAACAATAATTTTACCTAATTTAAAAAATAAATCATATTTTGAAGGAATGGTGACACATGTGAGCAGCATTAATAAAAGTAAACGGAGTAATGAGCAGTGGGATTGGCAGCCCAGCATGCCTGTAATTGATATTGCGGGTTCAACCAATATAGGGAAGGTGATTAAGATGCTATGGGTTTTTTTCACATCCAACCGTTTTAATAACAGCAGCAGAGGAACAATATAAAAACAGGTGTGTCTCCGCATCTCTAGTAAATTGCAGAGTTGGAATGAGCCTCAACTAGTTATTGGAGATGAATGAGCTTTGGAAATAACTGCCCCCTGTGTCTCACTGTAATTTCTACTCAATACATTAAAAATAGAGTAGGTGTAGATTGGTAGATCATTCATTAGCAGAAGTCGATGAGGAACATTTATGGTAACTTTGTAAAAAATAAGAAGAAAATGAAGTGAAGCTTGAAAAAGTGTAAAATGCTGAAAGGGATGGAACACCAGAAAATACATATTGTATACCCAGGGGAATCAAGTAAAATGCAATGAATTATGCTCAAAAACAAATCTCACCTTGATTTCTGTAATTTAAATCCCAAGGATTGTAAAAAGGAAAAGTTATACTACAGCAACGGAGCTGTAATCAGATAGAAAATCATGTGGAAATTAGGTAGATACGGACAGTCTGCAATCACTGCAGACTCTCAAGTTGAAGGCGTTGATGTAAAAAATAATCCTCCTCTGTGTTTGCCTGCTCATGTTTCTTGTGGGAGATGTTCAAAACCTACACTTTAAATCATGTACTCGTCTTTATTTTCCAGTTTTGTTTCAGCGACGTGTCCTCACATGAGTTCACTGGTAACATGTGTTTGTGATGAACCTAATTACACCAAACCTTCATGTGACCTTTACCTGTCAGAAGTTAGATTACAGCCATTATAGTAGACACAGGGCAATACACTGTGTCTTGTAAATGAAAATCAACGACAACCTAAAAGCCAAAGGTTATTTTGTTATTTTTCTCTATTGACCTCCTTTAACACACCTTATTTAGACCCAGATGAGTTTTACATAAAAGAGAGCACAGGGGCTAAAAGGTGGGATAATATTTCATTTTATAAAGGCATATCAGCCAGCTTCTTTTAATCGGAGTATCTGTATTTTACAATCGCACCACATTGAAGAAAAGATTTCTAAAAGGAGCAACACGCTTTTAAAGTATTCATTAAATGGTGAATTTGCTAGCTGTATTAGACCAAACTGTGTAAACATGAGGCATAAGTCGATCTCCCACTCAAAGGTTGTTTTCAGTCATTTTCTTAGCGGCAACCATTGATGCCAGGAGCTTGACATTTCACGCCACATTATTCATCCACATGTTCATCAACAAGGAGAGGAGGAGTTCTTCTTAAGTGAGATTAGCTGCATGCTTCCTTCCCTAACACCTCCACACATCCCCCGCAGATTCCTGGGTGACAAAATGTTGTGCTTTGAACTTTAAAAGTTTTTTAATTTGCAAATCGAGTGTGTGGTTGTGTGTGTGTGTTTGTGTGTGTGTGTCCGACTACCAGGCTGTTGTGATATTAAAGCCCAGTGGCTGTGTTTGCATATCACAACAAATCACTGTGTTCCAGACAACCTGGGTCCTGTCTTAATTAAAAGAAAATGAGAAGTCTGTGCTTCGGCTGCGATAGCATCACTTTGGCTCGCTGCCGCTGTTTGTCGCTTGGACAGGCTCTAATAAAACGGAGAGACACATAAAAGTGCTTTGTCACTATTCATCACATGGTTACTCAGCCTGTGCAGACGATTAGTTCAGAAAACAAAGAGGAACTGGCCGTTTGGAGACACAATTTCCAGTGAACACAATGTTACAATAAAGGTTGTTTGACATGTAACACGAGTGTGAAATCAATCGTGAAATTTAAGCTCTAGATGTTGAGCCCAATAATGTCCACATGTCCATTAAACTTTGAAAAATGCTCAAATTTAAATGTTAATGTAGTCCTTAAAATTTAAATCTTAGTCAGTTGTTAGAAATGGATATGACCTAAAGACAGAAAAGTTTGTCTTCTAAAGGTACTCTCTCAACACTTCACGTTCCTCACTCCCCCTCACTTTCCAGGAAGATGCTTCTCTATCCCAGCATCGCCCTGCAGGTGAAATGTTCAATGTACAAATGCTAAACAAGCTTTTTAAGCAGTGATTCTTGCCTGACACGTATCCCCCTACACAGCTCTCTCTGTGAGAAAAAAAAGACACAAAGTCTGAACACCTCTTAAAACAAGAAGGTAAACCCTCCACCGCAGACGTGTCACCCTCATCAAGAGGAGGCAGGCAGGCAGGGTTTCTAGGCCCCCGTCTGGTTGTTCCTGTCAAGAATTTTCTTATCAGGCTTGTTCTTTGTTTCTTTGCCTCACTGAGGTAAAACCTGAGCTGCCGTGGATGCTGCTGTTTATGTGTGGGAACAGAAAACAAGCAGTTACAAGCTTTTAGAAAGCAGCAGGGTGACGAGGCGGTCCAGAGATCAGGAACACATCCTGTCAAAATGCACTTAAGGAAGACATTGAACCTCTGCCCCCAATCTCTCCCATGCACTACATTTGAAAGGATATAGTGATATGTCCTTGAAAAGCAAAATTCAGACTTATTAAATGTTTGTTGTATGTGTTTTAAAGTGGAGTTAGTATAAAAAAAATATGTTTAAACTCACTCCAACAATCTTCAAGGCTGGTCGGTCTGTCGGTCTGTTGATCCACAACTTTGGGTGAAATTTGAAAGTTCATCAAATATTTAATTGAGTGTGATGATGTTTTGGACAAATACTCAGGAAGAGGACTCTGTTTTACTTCATCGATCAAGTTATATTTCACCAGAGCCAAAGTTTTCACTTCGCTGTTCAAATAGCTTCCAAGAAATGGATTGGATGGAAATGGATACGTTCAAAGTGTTCACACTTGTTTCTCAATGATCAGGGACTTGGGATTGTGCATTAGTCCAACAATAGGAGTTGACATTTGTGATGCTTGGAGCAATGTCATCACAACTGTTGGATTGTCATGAAATCTGGTGTTTATATTTGTGGCTTGCACAAGAGTTGGTGGTAATAATTCTTGTCTTTGATGATTTTTCTGTGACCAAACATTTAGAAATGGAATCAGACTCAGCTGTCCTCTGTGTTTTGTGCTAATGAGCTACAATGCTAAGCTAAGCTGGTAATTGATAGTCAAACATTAGGGGTAGTACAAACTATCGATATGGCAACATACCTTCCTCCTGACTTGTGTGACACTACTATTGGTGCCAAACATTGAGATTTTGATTTATTTTTAATATGGTGCTCTAAACTGATTTTCCTTCCAATGTAACTCACTGTGTCACCACTTCATGATTACTCTCACGTTGGTGCTTATGACATGAATGACAGTTACCAGAACAGAGATTAATTGGCCAAAGACGAAGTTGACAACTGGATAAAGGTAGAAGAATAAGACAGTGGGACAGTCGGACAGCTGTGAAAAGAAGTTAAAGGATTGAGCATGATAAGAGGTGAAACTGACACCAAAATACATTAACCCTACATAAATCATTATATGAATGTCCTGCAATATATCAATTACAGCACACTCTCTGTATCATGATGTTATCATTATTGTGGGCCACATATCATGTAAGCGTAGTTACCCTGCGATGCCAACATGTAGTTAACATTATACCTGCTTAGAACGTCAGCATCATGAAATTTATCTCAAATCTCAGCTGAGTCCAAAGGAACTCCCTTTCATTGGAAGGGAAAATGCAAGATGAAGGTCAATCTATTACTTATATATCACTTATATATACTTACGTATCAAATGAATGTGGCAAAGGTTTAGTGATGCTAATCATTAGTAATGTGGAAATGCTACATCTTTGATTAGAAATGAATGAACAAGTTAATAAAGTGTGATAAATGTAGGGCATTCAGTAGACCAAGCTTTTGTTTTCCACTTCTCTATTAATTATGTTTTTTACAGTCAAACCTTGAAGTGACTCTGTGGGGACAGTTACAATGAAAGGTCGAACAGGTTACTTGTATTCATCTGGAAACCTCGCCATAGTTCCAACGGGCCCATCTAAAAAAATGCACCTGATAACTTCTGCATGAATACATGCACTGGCCACCAGTCATAATCCCAGTTGAGACGAGGTTCAGCTGTGCAGCAGGGGAGCATGACTAGATGCACAGCTGTGCCCGATTCAGCTGAAGGATTCGAATGTATCCCTGCTGAATATTTTACATCAGCTCCCACTTCAGTTATTTCACACCATGTATGAGGAGCAGGAACAGTGATTGTGAAATGTTTTTTGGCTTCTATCATTTGTGATTGATTTGATGAATAGAGATTGTTCCAGACGTGCTTTGGACCACAGCAAGTAATCCGCCTGCATCACTGTGTTTGGCGTGACTCTAGCTGTGGCTAAAAGCCAACGAGTTAAGAGCTGTAAAACACAGCAGTTCTAAATACTATTATCAGTGTTATTACATGCTTATAGGTTACCATGGTAACCATCTTGATTTAGCAAATCTTAATGGAATATCTTTATGGGAATGTCATTAGTTCTGCAGGTATTACATAATATTCAGTTGTGTTTGGAAAGTAAGACAAGAATAAGAGGTGTTAGTTATATTCCATCAGGACAAATCAAGTTCCAATTTATACTTTATACAATATGTGTCAAAATATTCAAATCAAAGCCAGAAAATAGGAGCTATGTGGTGGTTCTTCAGAAAAATTCAGAGGATAACCAAAGTCATTAGCATTCATCCTGTGAGGAGCATTAATCTCTCTACAAAATATTATCACAGTTAGTTGGAGATAGATTTCAGTTTGGACATAAAAGTTCAATTAAAATCCATTAAATTTTCCAATAAAGTTCAAGCTAAAGTGTTTCATGGAATAAGTTAAAAACTTTGATGAGCTGATGGTATTAGAGGTTGTCAAAAGCCATCAGGAATCTATGATCATGATCAGACCATGAATTTCCCAATATATAACGATTGCAATCCATTTTTGGAACTTTCTTCCATTGGATCTAAAAACTGTGAACTCAGTGGACATTTTCAAAACTGAATTTGAAGACCCATTTGTTTAGATTTGCCTCTGTTTGATATATGTCTGCTTACTTATCTGTGTTGAATGTCTTTTTTAAAGTATTTTATTCTGAAGCACTTTTGGATGTCTGCTCTTAAAACATACATCATTAATACAATCAAAGTATTCAGCCTGGATTGAACACTTTGGTGTGGAAGGTGTGGACTGATCAGTGTTACCATCCCTGACTAACTTGAAACAGTTTGGTTGATGCATGTGATGCCATTCATGTCTACTCAAATATAAATCCTCAAAAGTTGTCTTTGAAGAATGTTCTTGGGATGTTTTTCTTCATGGGAGCCTTAAAAAAATAAGCCTCTGATTAAAATTTCAATGTTTATGTTATTTATTCATTTAGATGTTCTCATTATAGCAACATTTATCTTAAATTAAACGCGTGAAATGATCTGTCAATGAAATCAAAACTTCAGTGATGTTTATTTACTTTTAAATTAGAGACATTTTTAATTTAAACTGAAGTTCTTCATCATCCTTTTAGAAGTGGTTCAACTTTTATGACTCTGAAGCTCATTAACTCAGTTCAAAACCAACGAGGGATTCTTTAAGTAAATATGGTGTTCAGACTGTTCTGTTTGTTCATCACAGAAAAACCCAATGAGAGAGAGCGCTCTGATGGCCAGTTAGACTCTGAGAGATTTTCTTATTCCATGAAATGATCATTTCATAGCTCTTTCATTTCCGCTCATCGCAGAAAGCTGTGATTAGTGCTCATTACTTTGACTGAAACTCTGCAGTGGGAAAGCAGCAGATCATGCTGCTGCTGAAGCTCTGTCATTCCGAGTATCGGCAATACACGCAGACCAAGACCTCTTTCTGATTAAGGGTTTGCGTATTTGACAGGGTTCATTTGTATCAGTCGATATATGTAGGATGGATCTGTATTTTAATGAAGCTGGGAGGGAACACAAATGATCTTGCAGTCAGGAAAAATCGACCTCTGGATTTAGATCAATCTTCATTCTGCCATAAAACACAGATGTGAGATATTCTGATTATCTCTCCCGGTTAATCACATTCAAGAATCAAATATTGTACAGTTGGTATGCGGGTGCTCTCCCACGCATGAAATCCACTCAACCCTTCTCTCTGTCTCCCTCCCTCCTCTTCCCCTTTGCAGGAAGATATCAAAATCATGGCTGAGCACCGGCTGGTTCACTATGACAATCGCCTTGGAGCTGTGCGATAGGATCAATGTCTATGGCATGGTCGCCCCTGACTTCTGCAGGTGAGACACAGCAGCTGAATGTAAAACGAAATGATCAGCTCACCACCAAGCATTCTCTCTATGAGACTTTTAAAGCAAGCTTCATATACAGCAGCTTCGAATATCTCGAAAATCCAGAGAAGCAGTCACCTGATAAGAAAGATTAAACTGTAATACATTCAAGCAGCTGATAAATAAAATGTCACTGTGGCTGGAGATGTGTTTTGAATACTTAAATGCTCTTAATAGTAGTAAAAAGTAAGTCAGTAAACAGGCTAGAAATATAAATATTAATCTTTTTTTTTAAAAGTTGTAGTATTATGTTTTAACATCAACCTGCTGTCGATGTCCAGTCATCTAAATTTGTACTGAGCAACACAATATATAACTTCCTGCTTTGCCACTGAAGCTGGCATCAATCAAGCCCTCAATCATGTCTCATAGCATGACTCACCTTTTACACCTTTACACCTCTTTTTTCTCTCAAGCTTGGTGTCTAAAACAAAAGAAGAGAAACGACCGAAACAATCAATGGAATAGTTGTTGACTTCAAAGTTGTAAGACAGAAAATCTATGCAGAAAAAGGCTGCATATCCTCAGTGAGAACTTAATATAGAAAGGCCTTTTTCTCCCCTCATGACACATCCTGAATCATTGGAACTACTCTGATTGAAAAGAGGGAAAATGCCAAATGTGGAAAATAAATACTGGTAAAAGTTTAACTTCAGGGATTAGCCTTTCACGATAGTGTTTCAAAATGTATAGTGAGGTGATCACACCAACATTTATGCTCCTACTAAATAGATAATGAGGCCTTCTTGACTGAACTATTCCATCTTTATTAAGTCCTCAAAAAGGCCGCAGGTGTTTATTCTGTCATGAGGTCATGTCCTTATGGTTACTGGGGGAACTTGTTTGCATGTTCTCTCTGATCAGTGCCAAGTGTAGTAAACCCCAGCCAGACAATGGTGAAGCGTACTGACGTTTCTCAGAAGCCTTTAATTATGTTCAGCCTTATTCCGTATTTTTAACATAGACGAACGCCTTTTCTCCTTGAAACATCGTAAGAGCTACAGGACAGACAAATAGCAGGAAATTGTCTCTTACAAAATAGAAAATAAAAGTGTGCCATCAGAAACCAATAGTTATCTGTATGACATGTTAACAACACACAAGGACATTAATCAAAAGTTTACTTACATAAACTGTTACGCTATATACATTTTAGCATACAAACAACCACAGCTAAAGCGTTAAGACATTTTGAGTCATAGTTACATTGTTTTTGCAGCAGTGCCAACAAACATACAATTCCCTTGTTAGACTCTTATTTTGGATAATGATACAATAACTTTAAAATGAAACATCAACTTAACTTCATGTAGAATAAAGGCTTCCAGGTTAGACCAACTGCTTGTTGACATGTAAATGAAGAATGTGGCAGAGAAAGAAGGGTTTCTTTTCCAACAGTGTAAACTACAGCCCGACCGATCTGGGATTTTTGGGACTGAGTCCGATATCAATATTGGGCAGGAAAATAATCTGATACCGATATATCGGCCAATATCTGTCGAGATAGATAGATATAGATATGAACATTTATTACGTTGATCTCTCAAATGCAGATATAAAAGATATACAATAAAGACAAGATGGTCACTCAACTGGAAAGTGAGATGTATCACTGCTTGACACTCTGGAGAGTGATGGTGTTTGTTTGAATCTATATAGCACACTCTGCTAAGATAACTGCTAGTGTAATACAGTGATGCTCAAATTAAATGATATTTGACTGGTTAATAAATCTAGTTATATTGGCTCATATCTGCAATAAAATTTGCCAATACAGATAGTCATTGATAAGCTAATATCGGCCCGGCGGGTTAATCAGTCGGGCTCTAGTTTAAACTCACCAAAAGTATCAGAACATCAAACGTTCCTCCGTCAAGTGGAAACATTTTTTTTCAAAGTGGCTTTTCAGTGCGTTTATGCTCAACACTAAATGATGTCAGAGAAACATCATGCACTATGACGTCTGTCCCATGTAGCTAAAAGGCAAAGAATTATGGGATGCATCGACAGACTCTGGCTCTTAGCAGCAAACCCGTCCAGCCCTCATTAGCAGAGTTTAACGGCTTGAATCACAGCTCACGTTTCAGCAGACTCTCCCGTCAAGAGGTTTTAAAGGAAGAAGAACAAATCTTTTTAGATTTCTCAATAAAAATACCAAAGTGTAAAATGTTGAGTTAAACTTTGTTTCTGCTTTTGATTGATTAAAGAATTATTTTTTTATTTTGGGTTCAGGTACTAAGAAAATATGGAAATCTGTTTTATTTATTCAAGAATAGTTGGCTTAAGCAGATACTTTTCATTTTTCTAATGAGTGTAATCTGTGGATTTTTATTGGATCTCATCGGACTGAGAATTCAAATCAATGTTTCTCAGACATCAAGTTGAATATATTTGATGGACTTCAAGGGTAGATGTTTGAGTGAACTCATCAATAAATTAGCAATAAAAATCCATTATGCATCTACTATGTCCTGATTCAAATTTACAGGTTTTCAAGCCCTTTCCTCATTTATATTTCTTTTTTCATTCTTTGAATTGTTGAACGTGTTGAGCTGCTTCTTGCTGTTTTTAAAAACCTTCAGTTTCATGAATTACTTGTTATTGTTCTATATTTTCCATCAAGTTGAGCTTCCGTTACTTAAGCGCTCTACCAAAGCTCAGCCACTTTTCAAGAAACTTTCTTTACTTGTCCTTTCCAATCAGTCTTCAGCTGCAGGTGGCCTTTAACAAATAATCAACACGAGCTAAATCTGTCTCCTTAAGGCCTGGAAAGACACATCAATTCATACAGATTAGTTGCCCTCCTTCACCGTAAAATGAGAAACTCAGTGGGGTGTCTTTCAAGTGCCTCATGAAAGGTTTTTTTTCTTAAATGTCAAATGTCTCTCCTCTGTCACATTCACTACAGGGGGCGTCAGCATCAATCCGTCCCCTACCACTACTATGAGCCCCGCGGGCCGGATGAGTGTGCCATGTACATCTCTCATGAGCGTGGACGGAAGGGAAGCCACCACCGCTTCATCACTGAGAAGCAAGTCTTTGCAAACTGGGCACGGACTTTTGACATCCACTTTTACCAGCCGGACTGGAGCCCCCCGCCTCTCCCGGCCAATCGGACACTGGAGACGGCGATCGCTGCTGCGCCTGTGGTACCCAAAAAGACGTGATGGGTGTGGGGGTTAGGAAATACTTTTAAGTGTTTTTATAGGGGAGAACTGAAAAACGGGAACTTTGCATTATTCAGGAGCTCTTGGATCTGAAACAGAACGGATCATAACGGACGATCACCTCAGAGGAAGGACGGGTTTTGTATGTGTTGCTGGACTTTTGTTGTACACAGATCGCCACCGCTGCAGCTCCTGCTGTGTTTTCTCTATGGAGGTGAAGCAGTTCAGTTGTACGTCCATTTTTATTAATAAAGCCTTGTAGAGTGAGGTTATACAAGGAGGCAACAGTATTCACACTCTCAATGCATGCATTCATTGCAGCGCCTCCTCGTTTTTGTGCGTACAGATGTGTGCGAGTGTGCGAGTGTGTGTGTGTGTGTGTGTATGCATAAGTCTACCAACACTATCACAGAGCATACAAACTTGAGCCCGGGCTCTACACAAAGCCTCTCTTTGGCGCTGTAATACGAAGGATTCAGTGCTTACAGTTCAATGGAAGAAAATACCATTACAATACCCATAATCTATAGAGTGTAGAGCTGGAGACAGCGTTAGCGGAATACTAATAAAACTGTAGTATCAGTTAAATATGGCGGAGTAAATTATCCCTGTTCAGGGGTTTCTTCTCTAGCTGCCTTCAGATATTGAAGAGGTCAAGTTGGATGAGATTCTTTAGACCCCTAAAGACCTTCAAAGCAGATATTCACTTCCCTGACTTTGAGTATTGCTGCCTTTCAGATGTGTGCAATGTAAGCTCACTGAAGTGTCACCATAGTCGAAGTTTAAAACGCCAAACTTCCTGCTTCGATGACAAGAGTGTAACCTTACAGAGGGTTTAATCTTGGCCCGGTGCAGATGTATGATGAGGCTTTGTTGGCTGCTGTCACTATGTAATAGTGCAATTTATACAGCTACAAGTCGGATATCCATGTGAATGCACAGGTAAGTCACAAAAGACAAGTGGGAGATTAAGATGGAGAGCAGGGATGCAGCGGTAGCATCCTTCCTATTATATTCATCTGCTGCTGCTGCCTTGAGCCTGAATTACCTCGTGGGAGAATTACACTCTTTTTTTTTTTTTTGGGGGTTAAACTGATGAGTATGTGATCTGTCACTCCTCTCTTCTCCAGCTTTCGATTGTGTTTTATGTGCACTCTCCTCTCATTCGATGTAGTGCGAGCTACTCGTAGGCTGCCCCGTCCTCTCCCAGAGATCCTCTATTTTCCTCTCCATGAATAAGAATCAGGTCTGGAGGAAAGTGATGCCTCGTGTGGTTATCTTAATGATACATCCTGGTGCTGAGTCCTTATTGATTCGCCGTCATCTTTGGAATGTGAGTAATGAGAGGAGAGATGCCGTGGGTCAGATACATAGGTGCTCACACCTCGAGGACGTGATTCACATCATGTCTCTTTGGTGGAGACGAGGATACGATTGCTTATCATACAAACAGCCGCAGGAGAGACTCTGCTTCTGTTCGGTTTCTTCGCCTGGCTCCACGTCTTGCTGTTGACTCTGTTGTGCAGCAAAGTCTAAGAAAGTGGTTTGTTTATTTGTGTTTTTGTCTCAGAGTGGAACAGGTTAGCACAATAGTCTGTCCAAGGGAACTGATAAGCATTTAAAGGTTTTGGGTCTTTGCCTAATTGCTGGGGGGATTTCTTCAGAATATTTTCATTTTCTATAATTTTTTTAGTTATAAAACACAAAACGAACAAAATTCCATCTACAAGTCCTCAGAGGCCAAACTGACAGGTTCAGTTTGACAGTGAAATTTCTAAAGTTATTCCATTTACAGAGAATAGCAGCATCTCATTGCTGCATTATGAAAAAGTGGAATATTTATATAATTTGTTTCGTAAATAATGAAATGGTTCTTCCCTTTCACACAGAGTTTAATGCCATTTGTCATGCCCATACAATGTAGTTGCAGTCAGCAGCTGGTTAGCTTAGCTTAGCATCAGCTGAAAAAGTAAATGTTAAAAACAAGATGCTGTTTTCCTTGAGGTTATTCACTTGACCTTACATTGATTCCAGACAGTTCATGGTTCAAGACAAGTATAATGCTCGACAACACTCCCTTAAAGAACTTTTTTCTGCTATTCTTTTATGCAGCTAAAATCAACATATTCTGTTAGGGGTACCAAAATAAAACTTCAATTGTGATCCTAAAACCTGTTAGCCAACACAATTAACAATGTTTTTAAGAGTTAGCTTTTGACTCACTCTTTTTTTAATAGGTATGGCAACATCAGCCTCTGTTAATTTTATTTACACCATATTTAAAAAAAAACAAAAACAGAAAGAATTAGGTTCTAGCAAAACAATAATTGTGTAACATGACACATTATATATATCTGAACGTTTTTTTTGTCCCACCCCCTAATAGCAAGCGATACAAATATCTGAAGTGAAATCAATCTGAACACCTAACACACAGCAGGACAGGATGTAGGAGAACAATAACAAACTTTCAAACCTTGAATCACTCATCAATTGTCTCCAATTATTCTCTGTTAGCCAATTAATGTCCAAAACAACCAGTGCTTAAAATACTTCTGTTTTATTTTCTCCGGGGTTTTTTTCTTCACATAATGGAAATGTAAAATTCAAATCAATAAAGTACTTTTTATCAATACTCATTTCTTTCTGCTGTTTCTGTATGTGACGCTTGGAAAATGTTAAACATGATTAAAATAAAAATGGATGTAGTTTCTGGTGTTTATGTACAAGCCCTCTGAAATAAAGGATGAAATGTGGAGGTTTGTGCAGAACGAGAGGGCGGTGACTCACCTTCACTCTCCACTGACGGCAGCTGCCATCTTAGCCTTTCAATCTCCCTCTTCCTGTCTGGTTGTGACATCCGGCTGTGTCACACTGAAATAATAATGAAAGACAGGCAGAGCTACAAGGCCATTCCTCCCCAGAGCTACAAACAGATCCCTGAATGTCTTTAAAGCCGAGTGAAGAAAAATACTTACATATAAAAATAGCACCGCCTGAATCAGCTGAAAGTAAAGAATGTATATTAAGGTAACATTAGAAGATGATGGAGAGGCCAAGGACTCAGCTGAATGTCATGCCTTTAGTTATAAGACACTTCAGCCTTATACATATACACACCAGAATTACATCATTGCAATCTATAATAAAATCATAACACATGGACAGCTGAATGGTGTACTTTTAAACATGATTATTCTTTTTGCTAAAGACTATAATGTGTCCATTATGATTCAATCTTCTCAGCTTCTGTTGTTAGCATTATTTAGTTTTTGCTGCAACTGAATCTCCTCAAAACCAGCACATAGGGACTGAAAAGTTTTTGTAAGTATTCGCCTTAAGACTAGGGATGAAATGTAGCTATTGTGCTAATTCTGGCACATTTACTTTGGCACGTATTGATAATGAAAATGAATTGAATTGTTATTGGTGTTAGCACAACATGATAAACAAGTCTCTAAATGAATGCTGAATCACACTGAGCTCCAGAGATTTAAAAAAGAAAAAAAAGTCTAACTCACTGGCTTTCTCCAGCAGATGAAGCTTTGGTTCTGTTATAACGTGTGAAGACATGAGACAGAGTTATACTGTATGCTCATTTGTATTTCACCTGGATGTTGCATTTGATACTTCTCTATAGCTTTCAGTCATATCAAACATCCTGAAGACTTTGTTTGTTTTATTTAAGGCATGTTTTTAGGTCATTTTTGCCTTAATTGAGTGTGACAGCTTAAGAGAGGAAGTGTTGGGAGTATAGTGCAGGGGATGATGTGGAGCAAAGGGCCGAAGTCAGATTCGAACCCACAGCAGAAGCAATGAGGACTACAGTCTCCTTACATGGGGCACGCTACATAACCGCGAGGCTATTCAGCACCCCAGACTTTGAAAAAACCTCTTAATATAATTACTTTTAGCATTTGTCATTGGATAAAAAAACACCTAAATTGCTCAGTTAATGACAGATTTTCTTTTTGAACCAGCCAGTCTGTTATTTGAATTCTTCATGCTTCTCGGTTTACTCCCGCCTTCTTGTAAATAAATGAACTCCAAACAAAGCAATCTGTTTAAAAAAAAGGAAAAGTTCATTTTAACTACAGAGCTTCATTCAAAGCCAACACAAGAGTGTGTCTCTCTCCTTAAATGTAGTTCTCTTAATCAAAGATAAAGAAAGAAGCCATATTTAAATTTAGAAATACAGTGAGCTAGCAGCAATGATCATGACTTATGCCACAGCTTTTGTTGCAGATGAGAAGGAAATCTGCAGCTGCTAGAATTACAATAATCATTCCTGGGAATGACTGACATTTCAAAGGCTCCAGAATGGGGACGAAGTTGGAAATCCAGAGCCTCTGTGGAAATTGGACAACCTGTCAGGCACACGCTCTGTCTCTGAGACAGCATTTGTGTTTTTCTGTTTGTGTCATTTAATTAAACAGACTGGCCCAAAGGGCTAATGTCTACATTATTCTGCTTTGAAAGACAAGAAGTGTATGCATTTGAGCTAGCTGGTGAATACTGATGCTGTTCACTGTTTGAACAAGTAGTGTGACACATTCACAGCGATCTTTCCTGACTGAAATCTCTCTGCCTCTTTGGAGCTGTAAGATTGTCCTGTCCTTGGTTTCTCTTCACCAAGTCAGGTGTGAGAGAAGAAAGACGGATGTTTATTAACATTGAGGAACCACAGCGAGCGAGGCGAGTACATCATCAGGTTGAAAGCCTGAGCATATTCAATTCCATCTGGGAGTGTGAAAGTAGGAACCAGAGATGCAGATGAGATGCAGTCAATTTTGAAGAGGGTTTAAGAACAAACAAATCCGTCTGAGATCAGGTGGCTTTAATTTTCTCTGAATCCGCTGCCAGCCTTGTACACATAGATTGTATGCAGAGGCTTGGATCCAAAGGCTGCTATGTCTTTTGAACAGACAAAGTTGGAACAAAAAAGAAAACAACATTTAAAAAAGCTGCCTCGATTGTTTGAACCGTTTCCAGAAAGAAAACAACAGAGCAGGTGTGTAAATCAACCCAGGTGCCAAAAACTTCAAGGATGTCTTTGTGTTATAAAACAAGCTTAGACTGTGAGCTCTGCCAGGAATACCTTCAAGGGTTTTTGGAACAGTAAAAGGAAAGCGTGTGTCTTGAAAAAGCATTACAGAGTAATTGAAGAAGCTCAATATCTTTGAAATAAGGTAATAAAAATGGCAGTTAAAGACGCAAATACGATCCTTTTATTCAGTGTTTCAACTTTAATCAGGGTATCAGAGTCCGACCAATTTTTATACAATGAGCTCGCTCTGAAAGGGGATGTGAGACTACAGGATATAGAAACAGGGAAGAAGAAATAAGCCTTGCATAATTAATGTAAAAGGAAAGGTAGATGGTGGCTGACGCAGCAGCTGCCTTCACATACATATGGTTCAATTTCCAGCTTCATCTATTTTCCACTTCAGCTGCAAGAGAGGGTGACAGCAGACGCCTGATGGGTGTGTCCTCGTGCCAAGGAGCAAAGATAAACTACCACAGGTTCAATCCATATGCGCTGAGCATCAGTCATTCCCCCAACAATGAGCTTAATGCAGAGTTGTAACACATAGTGAGGAAGGGAGAGCGGGGAAAAGGAGGAAAAACACGTCCAAGCGTAGAGGAGATTCATTTGGGACGACCGGCAGCTTACTGGGTTATCACTCACTTATCGCTGCTGTTGCCGAGACGTTGGAAATAGCTGGGGAAATAGCTGTCCATCACCCAGAATACAATCAGCCGAGTACATGGCTGGGGAGCTAATGGATGTTTCCACAGGGAGGGCAATTTGGAGAATAGGAAAGTGGATGGGTCCATCACTGCGAGATGGGATTATGTGCGATTGTTATCCCTCACAAGCGGGATGTGACGGTCAAGGGGTGTAATGTATACGGACAGGAGGGACATTAATCAGTGATCTCTGCACAGTTCTCTCACAGCCAATCAGCCTAGCCCTCATCCCACATTTTCTTCCTCTGAGCGAGTGAACATTTCTGAGGAGCTCTTAAACAAAACTGCTGCTGAAATATGCAGAGCGGCACTGTCTCGAAAAATAAATTAAACTCTTATCTGTGGACTTAATTCAGTGCATTTTTTACCAAATCAATGCAGTTATGGATTGGCTCGACAAAACAAGAATTTTAGACACACAAGAAATAAATATAAGTTAAAGTCCTTGTGAAAAAGAAAAACATGAAAACAGTTTAAAACACACTGCTCATAGGCGGCCCATGCAGAGTTGGAGCTCTGCGTATCGTTCAAGTGTTTGTCCCTTCCACCTTGTCAGCAGAGTTGATCCAATACCGATACCACTGACAGAAGCCACTTCTGATAAAGCCTTGAATGCAGTATTGGCAAGTCTGTCAGTAAATGCAGCAATCTGATAGCATAATGTATTCCCCCCAAATTAATCTTCTACCTCTATCATTCACTGTATAAAAAGATGGACGACATGACAGCTCCCCAAAAGTGAGGCCAAACCATTCAGAGCTCCCCCCACAGACTTCAGCCAAGGTCATAGGCTCTGCCTCTTCTCTGTTAACAAGTGAGACACGGGTGAAACTTTAGAATCTAAATATGTCTAAAATAAAAATGTCAAACATGGTTTTGGTCTTTAAAGTAACTACTTATCATGTAATTAATGTTCAGCGGTTCATTCATCTAAAAGTTTTAGTTTTAAAATTGGATTTTGGATTTTCTTATAGCGCTGTGTCTGTAGAGAGAAACTGAACAAACACTGACAATAAGTCACTGCGTCTCTGCTTCAAACTGACATTAGAATCTGTACTCCTGTGGCCTTGAGGGATTTTTTCCATTTAATTGGTAAGTTAGATGTGTGTTATCAGAAAGGGCAGGATGTTAAAACCAGAACAGATTCTACTGTGCCGTCTCGGGCTCCAAATGACATCACCAGCACAATATATCAGCGCCCATTGAAGGGGTTTTTTGGCTTCACTATTGTACAGTGGGAGGTGGTTGAGAAGCATCGCTCATCTTTGTATACAGTTAATGGTTACAGCTAATTTGCTGGTGTACAATAACCAGGAACTAAACTGTAATGGAAGCTGAGACTGTAATGTTAGTCAAAGCTAACAAAATGGCAGGAATCAGTGTTTTTCCACAATTAATTTGTATATGCATGTTTTTTTTATCTCAGTGGCATCTAAGGGCTACGCGCTATTGGCCAATACTCAAATCGGAATATCGGAAATCCATATCAGCAAGGTAAGACGGTATCGGATCATCTCAACTTTTCTCATCTAGAATTGTACAATATTTAAATTTCCCAGGTAAAAAACAACATTCAAAAACAAAAAAAAGGCACCAATTCAATCGTAACGTTTCTGGCAGAGCTGATGCGGTGCCATACATCTTCATTCCATTTCAAGGAAAAAATAATCCAGTCACAAACTGCACCTTCCCTCTAAAATCCCCTCTGTAAAAGCTCCCGATTGACTTCCTCGTGTCCTCAGATATCCAGCGGTGTACACGCTGAGGCCTCAGAAGATGTGTTTGAGGTGTTTAATGCCATACGTCTTGAAAAACACCATGAGGATTAGAGTCCACAGTCCCAGGATGAAGCCATCAGGAGGATGCCAGTCTTTCTGCTTTGGTTTCTGGAGGGAGGAGGAGGAGGGGGAAAGAGGAGGGAGGGATGAGGTAAAGGTGAGGTGAGGATTGGGGTGGAAAGCGGGAGGAGAGACTGCAGTTAGTAATAGTGTGTATATTTCTCCTGTTGAGGCCGCGGCTGATTGTTCTGTCATTCACACAGGCAGGCAGGCAGACGCGGAGTCACACTCACTCACACACACACACACACACTCATTTCATCCCTTTATGTACACTATCTGCTGTCTCACACACACAAAAGTTCACACAGAGAGCGGGTGGTAAGACTCATCAGTACGCCTTCCCTGTCTCGTGTTTGTCCCATTCACTGCCACATCATCACTTTGTGTATGATTATACTTTTAAATCTCCCTCGTATTAAACATGCAACTCACAAGGAGCACATTTATATGCTAATGTAGCAACAATATTCTGTGGAGAGATGAGATTTAACCTCTAAAACATCTTCCCAACTCTTCCGCTGGTGACAAAGCCATAGATAGTCTGTGAGGACGCACTTAGAGATTTCTGTTATCCCCGCTACACAAGCCGCCATTATCCAGTCATGAAATCACCAGTCAGAAAAAGGGATCCCCCAAAGCCAAACACCCCAGGACTTGGCAAAGAGGATGAACACACAGACGGAGCGCACTCCAAGTCTGTGCGAATCACACTGTACACACACATCAGCCTGGCATACAGTGTAGTATAGCTGCTACACAAGCGTTGAGAGGTTCTACACAATCCGTGTCTCTCTCCGGCTTTCCAGAGTGCGACTAGTACGCAGTGTACGATTTCTCTCTCTGAAGTAAATCTACATCGGCCTCACACACACTGCTGTAGTTTGAGACATGCTGGCATCAGACTGACAGGCCCTGAAGGATAAGACAGTGGTGTGAAATCCCAGTCAAGGGTCCAAAAACTATTACCCATGAACTCAAGAGTGACTACAGCTGTAAGACAAGGTACTAAGTTATCCATCATGCAGCCTGTGGAGCAAATCAATCAGATTTTAATTCCAGTTTTGAATAGTGATAAGAAGACAATGGAGCTCCCCCAGAGTGAAACCAAAATACTTGGAGCAACTTCTACAAAAGCCCCGTTTCCACCAAGCTGTCCGGTTTGGTTCAGTACAGTTTGGTACAGTTCGGTACGGTAAACACTGAACTTGCTTGCGTTTCCGCAGCTAACCGTACCCTTTCTTGTTAAGCGGAGTGTAAGCCAGATGGATATAGCCAGGTCAGCTATGTAATAATGTGACATCATAGCAGCCCAACACAGTGTAGCCACCTATTAATTAAGTTAAACGTTCCAGAAGAACAGGGACAAAGTAAACAAGGGACCCTTTAGGGTCAGATCAGTACCCTTGGCACCCCAACAGAAGGGTATGAAAAACAGCAGGGTGGCACAGATCTCTTATTTTGGTACGATTCCCAACTTTTGACAGTGGAAAAGCCAAAAATGGGGACCATACCGAACTGAACTGGACCACTTGGTGGAAATGGGGCTTAACTGTTAAGAGTACGGGTTATGAACTCTACCTCCCAAATTTAACAGATGTGACATAGATCAGATTATAAAATCAAATACATGTTATATAAAGGTATCTTGAACATGGATTGTAACATTAAAGCTAGATCCAATAATGCTGACTTAGTTCCAAGTGTTCAGGCTTGTAAGGATTTTAGCTTCAATAAGTTATCTGATGCTATGATCGCCATGATTGTCAGCTCAGTTTACAGATGTGGCTCCTGTGGTGCTGTATGCAACAGATAAGCAGAGTAGAGGAGGAAGTTTAACAAACACATGAGAGTCCTTTCATTTTCCAGAACTGTTTGTCCATTCAACACAAGAACCTGAATACCACAGCTCAACCAGCTCATCTCCACTCCACCATCTCAGGCGTCAAATGTCTTCCCCAGCACCAGACGTCAAAGCCCGTTACAGGTGGTGATTTAGCTTCCAGTTTTTGACACAAACAAAAGTGTTTTTCAACTCATAAATAGAGTCAATAGACATCACATATCAGTTTGTGGATGACTGTTTTGAAGACTCAAGTTTGTCTTTTCAGTCGTTACCATCTTGGTGTTGCCGAGCCAGAGGTGGGAGTATCTATTAGATCTAAGTATCTAAGAGTATCTAATATCTAATATGCACTGTTACGCTGCTTCTGATTAAGTTACCCTGTAAAGTGATGAATGTATTAATCTTAAGGTTACCACACCCCTTAAACATGTCCCTCCTCTATTGTCTATTTGTTCTCCAAATGATACCATACCCAAATGATGTCATGATGGATGAAGAGGATGTAAAACTTGCACACCATCTACGGTTAATACAAAACAGTTTAACATAGTGAATCCCATAAACTGACATGTGTGATGGCAAGGAGCGGTAACACTTTTAAAAATCCAAACATAATGCTGGGTCAGTTCTTTGAAGGGAAAGGTTTAGTACAGCTCGTTATAGTCAGACAACCATAAGGTTTGTTTTCTATACAAACATGTAACAGAAGTAAGGAAAAAAAAAAAAAAAAGGTACCAGGAGGGAAAGAAATGCAGCTTAAAACAAAACGGTCAACTAGAAAATCAGAAGCAATAATTTAATTTCAGATTCAATATTTTTTAATTGAAGACTTCATTGGTGTGCAGCAACTCTTTCTTCATTTGTGAAAGATGATGAAATAGAAATAGCATGATTAGAAGACAACATATCATTATCAAGACATATATTACATATATTATATATAAGACAGATATTTCAGGATGTGGTGGTTTTTCACAATATCAAACCTAGTTATTACCTAAAAGAAGTATTCAGTATCTAACAGATTCGGTTAGCACTGAAGCTCAGAGCAAATCGTTTACAGAACATAAACAGAACACTGGAGGAACTCTTCAGGATTTAGAGTCACTATTTTGGCACTTTAGTAGCAAATAAAACTAATACATTGTAACATGACTGACTAACTGCAATGCCATTTGATGGTTTCAACGGTAAAATGCCACCAGTCATCAGGACTGTAATTTATAAGTAAATTGATTCTGAACAGCTGAAGCGGTCAGCTAATATTTTGCTGAATTTCACATCTTATGAGAAGTGCAAACCTGCTGAATTGGCATATGTACAGTGGACTCTTTTGCAGAACTGGCAGCTACTGTCGAGTGTTAAAGGATCTGAAATTACCACCCACTAAGCACCAAATGCCAGCACAGTCTTTGGCAGCTAAACCCTGGCCATGAAAGTCTAATACCGCAGTTATATTCTTTTTAACTCTCTCCCGCTATCATTTCTTTGAAAGTCAAGTTTGATCTCAGATAGGCTTCTCAGTGGCTGACTGTCACGCTCCTGTTACACAACTCTACATTATTTCTGTGAAGAAGGTTGTTAATGAACCTGACCCACTGCATATTGTTCAATAACACAATGCACCTGACTCTATTCACTTGAGAACAGGCATCCATGTTTCTATGAATACTGAATAAGAATTTTCTTGGACAGTGAACATTATTTTATTTTCAAAATCTCTTGAGAAAGGATGAAAAAAATCGAGTGAATCTGTCTTCTCAATCCTAACTCAAGGTTTGTGCACGGACACTGCAGATTTTTAATAAGGAAGGAGTGAGGACGGGGTGCCGGATAGCCTAGCGGTTATGTATCACACCCCATGTACGGAGGCTACAGTCCTCTTGGCAGTGGCCATGGGTTGGACTCTGACCTCAGCCCTTTGCTGCATGTCATCACCAACTCTCTCCTCCCACCTTCTTGTCTCTCTCTTAAGCTGTTTTATCTAATAAATTAAAAATAACCTTTAAAGAAATCATAAAAAAATAAATAGAAGGAGTGAGCACAGCAGGAGAATTTGAACCGCATCTTACTTGACATGTATCCAACAGCTCAATCAAGTCAAATCAATAGAGCTCAGTGCAGAATGCTAAAGTGGCGAAGTTTTTGTATCAGCCCTCGGCTCTCATCGGGACATAGTGGGAGACAGATTCAGGGTCTGGAAGTCCACGGCAAAGAGCTTCTGATTGAAAGCTGCATTCACACAGCAGATATTAGCTTGTATTTTCTGCTCATACTCAGACTTTATTGGCCAACGGTGGCAGGCAATAAACGGATTCAGAAGAGAAAAAAAAAGAGAAAAACAAGGACTGGAGTAGTGGAGATGTGAGGCATAGATTACAGGCCCCTACATACACTATTCAACAGTAGGTAGTGTCGGACAGAAATCAGGCTGCAGGTTATTCTGTGGAAAGAGCTCAGTGCTTCATCAGACATGCAGTGAGCTGTGGAGATAATAAAGGAATGATGACAAAGCTTATTTTACCATGAACCCTGAATAATGGGAGTCAACATGAACAGTTTACTGCCAAGGTTGGAATATTTTCAGAAATTACACGAGACATTTCCTTGTTCTATTCAAGCAGGCTAAAACCGGTAGGACTAAGTTTAAGGTTTTTATATAGAATTATTTGAATTATATTACACAACCAAGGGCTGAAACACAAAGGGGAAACCTTGGTTAACATGTTAACAACCCTGGAAATAATCAATGGTTTCATTTCTCCTTATCTCATTTCTTTATGGGTGAAACATGTATGGGGATGAATTTCCTTATAATTATTTTTTCGTATCTGATTATATTAAGGCTTAGAGTTTTGCATTAGTGGGCATTATACAGGGTTTGGCTCATTTGACTGACATGTGGGGGTGTGCGTCTTCAGAAACCAAAAAGTGTTGCCACTGAGACTATACTCCAAGTTTTTACAGCCAATGTGAAACACTAACAAAAATCCTGTAGCTATAAGATTTCAGTATATGAAATAATTGATTTAGAGCTCTACTGTATGAGTACAACAGACAAAAGTAATGTATTTGAAGACCTTTACAGTTTCCCATCTCCTTGCCTTGTTTTCTTGGAGAACTGAAATACATATACAAATCATTGTAGAGAGCTGTCTCTGAGTATTAGGATCCTGCAGTTTTCCCAATCTTCCCACTGTTT